ACTTCAGAACAATATGGCTATTTGTAATTGTTTGTTCTCCAGTACTGAATTGACGAATACTCTGTTTCACTATGGCATATAGCTTCTGTTACCATCCTAGGTATCTGGTGGGGAAGCGCTTTCATTCAAGTCTAATACATCATGACAGCTAGTTCTGGTAGTAAAGATTTTATCAGAATCCACGTACTCATTGCGGACTCTTAACACAAAAGCTCGTGAAAAGCCCACTCCTTGCATGACTTTGGAGGTGGAGCGCACTATACATACTGCCCTGACTACCTGAGTAAGATCATGTGCGCCTCGAGCTCTACCTACTAAGAGCTCAAATATTACTCCAGCGGGCTCAGAGTTACGTGCCTCACCGCACTCTTCCACTCGCCAGAATTGTGCTACAAAATACTGCTAACGGTCTATTTATCTCTAATTCACTTACTCCTGAATATATTTGCATTAATAAATATTGCGTCTTTTTTATAATGAATCTTTGTTCTCAAGATTTTACACTGAAATTGGCTGGTAAATGACTGCTTTGGAACGGAAAGGCATCCAGGTTGCTTGTAGATCTGCCATAGTTCAGGCCCGCCAGCGGCCGAATGGTAAAATCGCTGAATACTGGCAGTTCGGTCCGGGGTTTGAACCCTGGCGTACAGGTATGGGCTGCATGGGCGTTTCCGTGGTTTCTTCCATGTGTCACTTATATACGAGACTGTACCTTTTAGAAAGTCCTCCACGAAGGCATCTCTGTCCATAAGCAGATAGCCCTCGAGTGCTTTGTCATAATCAAGTAAATCAAACCAAACCTTCGGGTTTAAAATGGATTGAATGCACACAGAACCGATGAAAGCTTAAATGGAATTTATTTTCTAAAAATATTACACTTCACAGTTCTGGAACTTTCAAGACAAAAGTTCTTGTACAGTTCTTTTCAGAATGGCAGAGCGCAGACGGTAGTTACGACTTCAAGCTACTAAAAACATCAAACACTAGCAAAGCAAAGTATCTCCAGAGAGAAAGCTCGCTCTGCCATTTCCCAGTACTCTGAACTTTCCAACCTAAACAAAACTGATACTCTCTTTGTTCTTATGTATAAATTTCCCCCGTCCACCAGAGAAATTCCCAATAGCGTCGATTTCTCAAAATGGCTGGAAAGAGCACAGTTACATAAGGTCGGATATAGTTAGAGCTGTACAGGGTCGGATACAGTTATAGTTACAGAAAATCGGATCAAAACGTGGCCAAAATTGTAGATCCTTAGCTTCAAATTATTTCAGGTGTTAAACCCGTATACCAAAACCATACTGCGATTTCTTAATTTTGTAACTTTGCATTTTTTTAAAATTAACTATTAAAACTTCAGTGTTTGAAATGTTAACCTGAAATTTAAAAAAAAAAAAAAAAAAAAAAAAAAAAAAAAAAAACATATAGCTGTTTTTATAGTTTTGTTTTTACTAGTGTAATAGGTGGCGTTTAATGTTATCACATTTGTCCATGACTATTTTGATGACATTAATCGAACGGCAACATTAAGCAATGAAAAAAATATCTTTTAAAATATCAATAGAATTTAACTAATTTAATACAAATAATACGTACATCATCAAATGATATTACACATACATGATATAAATTTCTTGGATTTGTTTCAGAAAACGTCAGGCACGTATCTTCTTGCTGGAATTTTATTTTTTTCAAATATTTTGGCGAGAAAAAGCAAGATCATCTAAAATTCCCCTTCTTTATTCTGATTAATCCAAAAAATCTTCGTAAAACTTAGGAAACGGGCTTCTTTACACAAAGGCAAACCAAAACTAAGCTTGTTTAAATCAAAGCCAAGATAGCAACTTTAACTTCAGTTTTAAAAAGATCACCTACTCATGCTGTTTTCATACAAGCTGTTGGTTGTAATTAGGAAGAATTTTTCCACAGATATGGCTTTGTCTAACTCAACGATTCATACGTGCAAATAGGGCCCACCAGCGGCCGAGCGGTAAACTCGTTGAGCACTGGTAGTTCGGTCGGAGGTTCGAATCCCTCGAACGGGCTGGCTGCATGGGCGTTTTCATGGTTTTCCCCATGTGTAACGTGTATACGAGCCAGTTCCCTTTAGAAAGTCCTTCACGAAGGCATCTCTTCCCTTAGGCAGATAGCCCTAGTGTGCTTTGCCGTATTCACAATACACACACATACTTGCATAGTCAAACCCTGCTATAACTAATTTCAGGGGTCGAAGGTTTGGCTCGTAATATCCGGTGGTCGACTATACCCCATCTGATGAGGAAAGAAGTAGATGATCTCGCGAAACAGTGTAAAAATTGATTGATGAATCATACAGAAATATTGATTAGCTTTACAATATCTTCCAAAAGATGTTAAATAGTAATTTTAGTTCATAAAAAGTACATTAACAGCTATTTATTATTACATGCAATTAGATACCATATTTCTTTCCCGTTGTTTTCCAGTTTCACCATACGGGTATAACTTTACACAAAAATTACACAGCATAAAAGTCAGGGTTTTAGTATTCTCCAATCAGTTGCACCTTTCCATTTAAAATACCGATTTGCAGTTATGAATAAACCTTGAACAGAGTGCTGTCTGACAGCTCAGTCAAAGAACTCGAATGGAATCTAAGAACCGATTCAAGTTCTTTGTGTCATTGGAGTTTAATTTAGAACAAAGATAATAATGGGTTGAAGATAAAAGTACAGTAACCTAAGGGTATTTTTCATTATTCTAATAACCCAAATATCTAATAACCAATGCTGCATTTAACGGTTAATACTTTTTCATGTGGAAGATGCAGACATTCTGAGGAAAAGTTTGAATAATATTAAAAAAATTTATCCAAGCTATCTATGAAATTCGTACCGTAATTCATATATGATCCCTCTTAGCCTTTTAGTTCTAAATTCTGATAATTGAAAAAAATAAATAAATAAATAAATAAATAAAAAATAATTTTCCTTTTAAATACTGAAGGCTAGTTTTCCTTTTAAATACTTGTATATTGGTAAATTAAATATTAAACTTTAAAATATTTACTTTTATTCGGTGTATTCAATGTGTATTTGCATTTTTGAACCAGTATTTCATTTTCCTTTGTATTTATTACTTGAAATGTATTTTGTGTTAAGCTTCAATGACGTGGCAGGTGTTCTCACGTTCAAGAAACTTTTAAACATATGACTTCACCTTACTTATATTATTTATGTTCCAGTTCACTGCAGCTTTTTGCTGATGTGTTTGATCTTTAGAAATCTGGGTCTTTGGTTAGTTCCTCTTCTCGTTCTGTGTCGCTCTTAGGAGCTCATTCACGTGAGGTGCAACCTGCGAAGGCAGGCTGCAGGTGTCAGATATTGTAATGTTAATACTGGAATATTCGTATTGGAATGTAGATTTCTTTCAAAGAAGTAATATTATGATAGTTACCAGTAGTTTATTCAAGGCTGCTTTTCATTTTTTATGTTTTGCTTTTATACATTCGAACGTTCACTATAGGATATATAAAATAACACTAAGAATATAGAAAATAACACTAAGCGTATAAAAAACTGGACGGTACGAGAACGTTCGTTCGTTATATCCGGAGGTTGCTATAGATGAGTTTGAACGTATTACCTTTCAAATACCGTATTTCCTCGCACTTTATTCCCCTTTTACAAACTAGTTTATTGTTTGAAAATCTAACGGAGAAAATTATGCAAGTAATTTAATTTCTGAAGAACGCAGTTACTGTAAGAATATAGCAAATGATAAGTTGTGGTGGATAAACTACTGGTAACTCATAATATTGCTTCTTTAAAGCAAACTTGTAAGGATCCTAAGTTTTACTAACGTTTATTTTATTTTAAATCATTACTATCACTTCTTATTTTATACTTCCGGCCAGAATTAAAAGCTTTAACTTATTTATGCAAATTTGTCTTGCTAACGCCAAGTACTTAAGTTGTGGCTTTTTGCCAAGAAGAGAGAGAAAGGAGTTATTAGAAGCAGGCCGCTTGCCATAGTAGTTTAACTCGGTTGCTGGTTGCCTTCAAGGCCAGAGGTTTAGCCCTCTTGATAAATTCAAACGTATCGTAGTTTTAGCAGCTCTCTGTACTACATACGGATTTTTTGTTAAATAACGGCCAATCTTAAAGTAGGCACTTGTATATTAATCCAAAGTTAGTTTAGTTAGAGTTTTAGTTAATATTTTTATATTCTTACGTTCAGACCACAAGTGGTTGGTCTCTGTATTCCGAAGTCCGGAAATCGTTGTAAAGATAGAAAAAATAAAGGGTTTCGTATACCCTTCCTGTGTGTATTGTCTACTTCACAATTTATTGAACATAGCTTGAGTAAGCTCCCTGTTCCGAGTCAGGACAGTTCATGTTTCCAAAGCAAGTAATGAGGAACACAAGTCCTGATAAACTTACATTCCAATAAGACTACGTAGAAATATTAACATTATAATATTGGACGGATATTGAGCAGATATCTTACTATAATTGAACCATGTCCATCTCAGTAATCTTGTAAAGCCCCAGGGGCATCTCACATGAATGAAACTTAACCGCAGTTCTCAAGAGGCAGAAACGTAGGAGAAGGAGGCGAACAAAGGACCTGGATTTCTAAAGATCGAACACATCAGCAGCAGATAAGGCTACAATGACCTGGAACGTAAATAATAGAAGTAAGGTGGAATCATATGTTCAGCAAGTTTCTTCAGTGTGAGATTTGTTGGGGTAGCTTAACGAAGAATCTGTACAAAATGCGTTTCAGATAATAAATGCAAGGGAAAATAAAGCGGATAAAATGATAATGCAAAATTCCAAATACAAATTGAATACACTGGATAAAAAAAAATATTGAAGAAAACGCAATTCAAGAATAAACTAGCCTTAGAGGGAAAACTATGTATAATAATAGCAGATGAAAATTCTGCAAATATTTTTTAAATGTTCAGAATTTAGGGCTAAAAAGCTATACTAAAAAACAATCCACTTTCACCCGGTTACCTTTGAGCTTCGTTTTCAATTCATCCTTCATGAGAGAGAAGGTGTCGTAGTAGGACCTGTCACTAGGAAGTTCATGGTGCTGAGGCCACCTTCCGCAGGCAAACTGGTAAAAGTCATCGCAAGGTGAGACAGTAGAATCCATGTTCTTCAGCAGAGCGGCAGCTGGAAAAAAAAGAAGGAAGATTTACTTCTGAAAGACAAGTTTGACGACGCGAGGGGATTGCAGAAGATTTGCGCGAACTCCGAAGGTTTGTTAATGTAGAGACTATTAATCATACTGCTAAGTGAGAATTCGTGCCTTAATCCTCTGCGTGATTAGGTTCATGAACAACGGGTGTCAGAGAAATAATAATGTTTCTGATTCCGTCTGCAACTTGCGTGTTTAGTCATTCACGAAAAGGGAAAATATGGCTTAAGACATCTACAGACGGAAATATATTTGAGTCTGGAAAGGATGTAGTGACAGGTATAAGAACAAGGTTATATTTAGAACTATGAAGGTCGAGAATATTATACAGTCAAAAGTCGATAATCCGGACTCGTCGGGACTTCGGCGATTCCGGATTATCGATTTTTCCGGATTATAGATCATCAGTTTAAATCTGGTTAAATGGCATGAAGAAATTATAAAATTAAAAATATGAAACCGTAACTTACGAAATAAAGAACAATTATGATCTAAAGTGTATCAAAATTTACAAAAAAAAAAAAAAAAAAAAAAAAAAAAAAGCTTAATATTTATTTGTTTACTTTATTAAACATTTCTCTCAATGTAAGTTGTTTAAATTGCTTCGTTTTTTATGTGATAATACATTCTCTTTAATTCTATAAACATACATAATTTCTTGTTCAGTTACAAAGTTCCGCTGTTCAAGTCGCTGTGTCGAGAATACCGACTAATTTGTCAATCGAAATTTTTTCTTTTTCAATAACCTCTGTCACTTTCTTCGCTATCGGAAGCGAATTATAATGACGAGGCATTTGATTTAAATTATATCAAAGAAGGAGTATACCGAAATGAAATACTACATTTAGTAAGCAATTATAAGCCAAATAAAATAAAAACATCTGCCCTGAAGATAAGGATAGTGCTGACAGATCAACTTCCAATTCATTGCGCGCGGCGTTAAAGATAAACAAAGTTTAGATAAACAAACGTTAAAGTTTACATAAACAAAGGATATGCCTTTATCCATTTTTTGCAGCAATTCCACTTTTTGTTTAATGGACTCCGAAACATACTTTCGCTTTGTAGATCCGTTACATATTAGTAAATATAAATCGGAAATTCTATTTGACATAATCGAAAGTTCAAGCTTACTTTTATAAAATTGCTCTAACAGTCTGCAAAAAATAATAAGCCGGATCCAATTCGAAGATCAAGGAATAACGCAATCTGGAACATTAACTGAAATAGTTAATTAGAGCTTAGCTTATACCGTCCGTTATACATTAAAAGCGCATTCGTAAACGTATTTTGCGCACGCGCACACGCAAATTCGCAGCCGTAAAGGTCTTATGCGCATGCGTCAACGCGACGCCTGCGCAGAAATTTTGTAGCTTTGAGGCCCGGATTATGGGTGTCCGAAATAACGACTTTTGACTGTACCATTTCTACATTTTACCTGTTACATTTTACATTTTGTAATTTTACGAACGCCTGTTATAAAAAAAATCAGATTTATATAACATAATTATTACTGCTTACGTTCCTGTGTTAGAAAGGCGCCAAATGGATGATGTAGTTTCGATTTTAAATATCCTTAATAAATCCAAGCACTGTCGGTCTATTCAGACCAAACTGCATATATATAAACATTCACACGTAAAACATTATTCACAAATAATATAAACATTCACACGTAAAACATTTAGTAATAATTCAGCAATACAGATAAGCTTTAAAATAAGAATTCCAACAGTTATAGGTCAGCTACGCTTTTTGTGACCGAATTCTTCAGACGCCAAATCTCAAAAGCGTGTTGCCAGCGCAGGACAACGAAAAGTGGAAATATCCCTCCTAATTTCAGCTTACAATTTCCTACCAGAATGTGATTTTAGAATCGCGGTTAGTGCAAATGAGTAAGAGCTATATTTAAGTCGAAGTTCGCTGACTTTGTTAGAGAGCTAGAGTTTTTTACTAGCGCGCGTTTGCCCTTTGGCTACACTCTTTCTAAGCTATTATTGGGCTCGGCCGATTTCAGGCCATTGATAACTCTGCCAATCCAGTCGATATTTAGGGGCCAAATACTTAAAATTTTGATAGCTTCGGCTATATCTTTTTAGTTAAGCATTAGTTAAATTTTATTTCTTATTACTTTTAGTTCAAGCCCAAGTGGAGGTTTTGCTGTACTCTCTGATAAGGGAGCCGACTGTAAAATTCTTATTTTGAAAACTAAAGGGTAATTAAGCCTTCTTGAGTTTTACATATCTGTTTCTGAACTAAAGCGAATATTCGCTTATCTGCTCACGAGGTTCCTACACAGTTAGCTGTTAGATAACAGGTTGGAACCCCACAACTCTTTATGTATGTAAGTATTTCGAAAACATGATTTTTATTCTAGATATTTCCAAAATTACGTTACTTACTATGCCATCGCGTGTAGCACAGAAGAACAGCCGTCTGAATCCCGGACAAAGCTTGGATACGGTAAATGAATAGTGTCTGTGCAGCCTGGGGGTACTCTAAATATGCGGCGAGCCGAAAGCTCGAATTTCGTGGGATTTCTCTGATATCAGACAAGAAGCGAGATTAGTCACAACAATAACAAAATAGCAAAGTACTTATTTATTCTCAAATAAAATAAACTTCGTGAATGCCCACATTTTCTCACATCAAAATTCTTCTGAAATCCAGTCGCGTCCATCAAAGTACGCATGTTACGTTGCAAGTGTTTAGTTGGTAGAACTGCATCAATTATGCAATTGTGACTTATTTATATTATGATTATGCAATTGTGGAAGAATATTTTTGAAAATAATTTGCGTATGTGTTATTAATTTACTTTATCGTTTATAGAAGTAATTGTTGCGAAAGTGCATCTCTCAGTCCCGAACTACGTCCGGAGTTAGAAAACAACTTTTAAAAGAAAATATATTTCTTTGGGGATGCAAATACAAGTTCTTAATCCTTTGTTGAAAAGTGAAAAGGCATCTGACGTTGCAAATTGTCTAATTCAGGGGTTCTCTACAAGAATAAATTTCATAGTTTCAAGGGAGCATGCAGCAACCTCTTATTTATTAATTAAAATACAACAATTATTAATTTAGAAGTCAAACAACAAAAATTAGCATTATATTTTCAAATTTTTACAGGTCTAGTTCGGTTTTACCGAACCATCATCCTCAGCTGCAAAAGCGCAAATGAATGAGATAAAATAAACTTCGTGAATACCCTCATTTAGTGAATTTAGTGAACTTCAGGAATACACATAAGACAAGAAAGCCTGCATAGGAGATAAGCTACTGGCGCCATCTGTTGATGAAACCAGAACTAAAACATAATTTCTTAAAGGCTGAAGGCAAAGATGGATTGGAATTTATTTGATCTAACATTTATTTGATATTAAAACTTTACTATCCTCTCTTGTTTCCTATTTCCGGCCAGAATAAACGTGAACAGATTTGGTTATGCGAATGTACTTGCAAACTGTTAAGTATTTAAATAGGGCTTTTAGCCAAGAGAGAGTTAGAGACAGAGACTTCTCGCTGCCCTTACCACGCGCGAGCTTTTCAGTGAGTTCCTGTCTGCCTTTAAGGCCAGAACTTAGTTCTATTTAATATCTAAAGACTTTAAAGACTTATCTTTGATACTTTATGTAGTTTCCTGCATTCTGGTCGCTACATACATAGAGTTAAAAGGCCAATCTTCGTGTTACTAGTCTTTGTAAAGTATCTGAGTTTAGTTCTTATTTAGTTAAATTAGTTTTATTAATAAAATTAGTATTGTTAATGATATTGGTATTTGTATTCGGAAGTGCAGGATCGGCTGTACGTTGTGATAAATAAAGGATAATTTGAACCCTTTGCATTTGTACTGTCTCTGCTACACTCGTACGAACATAAAAGTTTTGAGTAAACTCCCTGTTCCTATTCAGGACTCCAGTGATGTTCCCAAAGTCCATTAGAAGAAACAGAAGTCCTGACAAGCTTAGTTTATGAAAATAAAATTATTCAAGCTTTGATACTGATTTATATTTTCTATATTTGTTTAACTATAATTTTATAAAACATATTTAAAATAAGGTAAATTTAAATAAATATATGTATGTTTTTTAAGTTTGGAAAGCAGAGGGGGTAATGATAGTCTGGCAATAATGAAAGGTTGCAGAGGGTTAAAAACGTTGAGTAACATTGGTCTAAATTTGAAACGAGACAGCAGTCTGAACCATTAAAAATGTTTTGTTAATGCTAAAAATGCTTCGGAACTCAGCCTTCTGCTTTCTATTGTTTGTTAGTTTCATATAACAGTATTTCACATAACACGGTATTTTCTCGGAGCCTATCTACCGTGTTATAGGAGGGATACCTGTGCATTAATTAGCTAAATAGGATAATTAAATTAATAGGATACAGTCATAATTTTTCAGAACATTTATTCGTTTGGAAATCTTGAAATTTTTCTTTACTTTTACATAGCAATTTCATCATTTGGCTTGGCATTTCTAATTTAAGTATATCTGCTATTTATAATTAAATTTATGTGAAACTTTAATTAGTTAAATTAACAAAATAAGTTAAGAGGTTTTGAATAGATTTATTCGTATGGAAATTTTCAAATTGTCTTCTGTGCTTAGATAGGAATTTCTCCGTTTTGTGCAGCAGTTTCAATGATGAAAATTTTCTTCAAATTTATACCGTGTAAAGTAGCAAAATTATACCTTCTATTGAAAAAATTGACAGTAGGCTCTCTCTTTTAGTTTAAAGAGCGGTTGCTGTTTCATGTGTAGGATTGCTAACGGAAGTTGGAAGATATTATAGAACAATGAAACAAATAAAAGATTTTACATACACATATATATTTCATTTCATTTTATCCTATTTTTATTACACTTATTCATTCCAGCTGACCTTTCGTAAAACCGTTCGATGATACGAGAAATAAGATACATAATTTAAGATGTCTGCAGTTATATTCTTAGTAAATGTTTAATCTAGAAATT